CAAAATATATCCATAATATAATATTGTCCAATGAGCTGAATGTATTTTTATGTCACCATTTTTATTGTTTTGTTATTATAAAGATGGATTTATCTTTAAAAGAATCCATCCCTTTTCCCCAAGTAAAATAATCAGACAGTGGCTTTTTGTCCTAAAAGATGTTTTCTTGTATCCAAGACAATCAATTATCTCAGCTTCAAATACTGTGTGACTATAAATGGCATTTTTATTCCTTATCAAATTAAACATTAAGTGTTTAATTTTTCTCAGTGTGCAGCAAACAAAACAGACTTGAACCTATTTCATGTGTAAATGAGGTTGTAACACGTCTGGCAGCTGGAAACTATCATGCAGGAAAATAGCATCTTTATCTTTTAAGGAATCCTGTTTTCAGTCATATTTAGGCTAAAAAAATGTCAACTTTAGAGGCTTCCTTCAAAGCATGTGTCTCAGCTCTGCTTTAATCTACAGGGAATATAACTGCAGCATCACAGTATTGTCTGTTCCTCTTCAGCAAAAAGGTATTTTCTTTATTTGATGCCACCATGTCTTTCTGGCTGTGTTCAATTTTCCTGCTGACTGGGATGATATATAATCATGTGATTGGTTACCTGAAAACAGTGATGACAAGGGCATCTCTCTAATAAAACTCTGGCTTGTTCAAAGAGATTATTTTAAAAAGCCACACAATATGTCTACTGCTAACATAAAATGATGCTAGATGAAGCTTAAAAAGACAGCCTGCAGCCCCCTCTCTGAAAACCCTGCTCTGGTATTGACAACGCTCAGCAACAAGCTGTCAGACACATTGCACACCAGGATTCTCATTGATGACAGCGCCATGGCAGAAGTCAGTGAAAGAATCTGAATTTAACTCGTTCGGGTCGAGTGCACATGCCACCGCATGGCAGTCCAGGCTAAAGTAGTCTTCTGGAAAACAGAAGCAGGGTCTTCTGAATGAATGCAGACTTCATCTCAAACATTTTTGGCTTCAAAGAGAAAGGGATAATTAGGAGCAGAAGTGTGAGGAGAAAACAGCTGGAACAAAGCATGAGGTCCTCCCCACCCTGCTGGTGAGAGCTCCCACTTTGGTTCTCACTTCACATGAGTGCGGCTGCAGGGGGAGGAAATTTGTTAAAAGGATGATTTGAGTGAGGAACATGCATATTGGTAAAAACAAAATGCATAAGCATATTCTCCAGGATTAATTCTTTAGAACGATAAAGCTAATTTTAGAGCCATTTTGGCTAGTGTGCACGTCATTTGTGAGGTTTTAAATTTGCAAGTATTTGTTCACATGCTGAGCTTACAGGAATGGAAAAAATTTTTTTTTTTTATTAAAATGATCACCATAGTTGTATGAAACTTAATTTTCAGTTGAATCTTTTTCCAAAAACACAACAATCACACACAACCAAAGCTATTTCGGATAGACAAAGCATCCTGACAGCTTCTTGAGCTTCACCTGATCATACTTCTGCTTAGGATTTGCGGAGTTTCCTTAAAAGCTGTGCCAGGAGAATCGACAAAACCAAGGTTTTAGGTAAAAAGAAGCATATAAAAGAAACATACTATATGTGTTAATGTGAGGCTCTTAGGCGTTGGATCACTATGACAACTTTCAAGTATGGTGAGGGAAGCATCATGCTGTGGGACCCTTTAATTGTTATTGGTACTGTAGAAATGCATACATTATATTGAAAGTCGGAGAAGGGGACAACCTTAAATGCTTTAGCCTCACTTTAATTTACCAGCTAAGTTAAATATAACTTAACTTATCTTGGAGCAGGAGTTTATATCATAGTCTGCAGCCACTCTGTTCATGATGATTTAAAAGAGGCTTTAAAAAAAAAAAAAAATCAAAAACAGACATTAAATGTCTGGTCCTCGTCTCGGCCCCTGCACTCCTTGTTCTTGGTTGATGTGGCCTTGACTTCAACACTAATAGCCAGTTTGAACACTGTTGCTGGTTCCTAAATATATAAACCAGTGAAGATGACAGTTTGGGTCAGGAAGTTAAATCTTTGACAGTGTTGGGTGTTCCAATAATACAGAGACATGGACATTTAACCAAATACTAGTGGGGACTTATGTATATAGTATGCCTGAAAGTTTGACTGTGGGAAAATCCACAATAAATTCACATCAGCTGTATCCATTTTTTATGGCAGAATTTTGTTGATGTCTTGGGTATACTTTTGTTTACAGGTTTGGAGTCTGACCGGCAGCCTCGGGCAGTGCAGTCCAGCATCTGTCAGGAACACACAAACCTCCACAACCGGCTGGATGTGGTGGAGAAGGTGAATCCGCCATACTTTTTGCCACCATGTTGAAACCGGTGGTTTTTCTTGGTTACAGCTTTAATTTGTCAATTATCTGTTTTTTTCCGCTATGGAGGATAAACTCTCTACAAACCGGAATAACCTCCTTTCTTGTGTCCTTATGTAAAAACACTGACAAAACACCTTCTTTTTTTAGGTCTCTTTTTGCGTCATTTATGAGTTATGATGCAATTATCTATAATAAAACATAATGATGTATTATTCAAATGTCAAATATTAATTCTGTCTCCCACAGAGGGTTGAGAACACAGTGCAAAAATTAGAGGGGGAGCTAGCTGCTCTATTGGAGGCCATTGAGGCACCACAGTGGAGCCCTCTACTGGATACCTCTGGAAAGACAACTGTGGACATCCTTGAAGATCCATTGCAGAGAGGCCAGCCATGAATGGTGTATGACAGGATATTATACCAAGTTTCTAGAAAAACAGCTCCGTGTAAAAGTCTTGAGTCATGACTGTATGTTTGGCACAGAACAAAAATATCTGCAACTGTTAAAAAAATGCTGATTAATATCTTTATTTTGTGCTTTTGTGACTCAACTACATGGGTAACGACTAAAACACTTCACAATATTTCCGGTAATGATCACAAGTGAGTTCTGGAGTATATGCCTTCCTGAATATGCAAATATATATTATGGTGCAAAATGCTGGGATGACAATATGAAAAATTTACTTAATTACGAGCTGCAATGTGATTCATCAAACCTAAAAGGGATTATGGGTGCTGTTTCTTATCCTTTGTTAGTCAGGTACAAACTAGAAAGGAAAAAATATCCCTCCATCACCTGTCATGAGACGGAGGCTAATAGGTAAATTGACAGATGGTGTACATTAGGAGACATTTAATTCGTATTTTGGGGTAATGATAATTGTTGGAAAAATTGCAAATCTTTTGGAAAGTATGCTGTATGAGCAATGCAAACAGTAACTTTTAAAGCGTGCAGGAGGAGAAATGGGCTTGTGCATGCTCTCGCACAGGTTTAACAGGCGTTCCCTCTCGGAAGCGAGTATAGGGTTGTGCATGTGCATTTTTCTTTTTTTAAGTGGAGAGAGTGGTTTTATTCAAAAATTAGCCAAAACCCTCCACTAAACCTTTAACAGCTTAAATAGGATAAATTGCTTACCTTTTGTATGACACCATCTTCCTGTTGCTGTTCATACATCTGTGGTGATGAAAGTGTACAATCAGCAGCAGACATTTACACCTTGTTGTTATTCGACTTATGCATTAGGAGCTATGATAACTAGTCAAGAGAAAAAATATACAAGTTTTTTCCTGAATTCCTTTATGAAGTCCATGAACAACTTTTTTATAATAGAAACTGGTTTTATTCAACCACACTTTCTTGAAGAAGTTTTTTAATCTGTCAGGTTAGAAGCGTATTTCTTGTCTACAGGCTTCTTCATAGATTTCTATCTGATTTAGTTCTGGTTAAGTCTTCCAAAAAAATTTCATTGTTGTCTTTTGTTGATCAGCCTGTATTATGAAAAAAACCGAGGATGAAAAATAACATTTTTTTGGCTGTCTAACCTTCACTTCAAGTTTTTCTCATCTATATATGACAACATTCATAATTTCATATCCTGTGTTTTTTCCTTCCATGCCATTCAGCAGGTTGGATCTGTTGAGGTTTTTAAATCCAAGCTAAAAACCCACTCACCCACCTCATTTTATGCAGACTAGATCAAAGCCTAAAGTTACTGTTTTACTATTGATTGTTTCTCATAGGGTTTTTTCCCCTTCGTTTTGAATGTTATTGGTTTCCAGTTTTTATCACCAAATGTTCAACATCAGACCAAAATTAATTCTCCTGTAAATTGTTTGAAACATTTTGCTGCAATATTTAGATGAATAGATGTTTTCATTGAAATAAAACTCGTCTTATTAACAACTTCACTCCATTGTTCAGATACATGTACTTGGAGAATACAGCAGGTTGTTGTCACAGACAGAGCTCAGTAAGGTGTCTGCTGTTTCTGAAAGCCTGTCTGACCAGTTTACATATTTTTATTTATTATTCTTTAAAAAAATGTAAATTTGTCTGTCATTTCTCCAGTTATAGATGACTCTCTTCACTGTGCCACAGCAAAATTCTGGGCTTTTCTCCTAATACATGTTAATATCTTTGCAAAACAGATGCTTTAGGTAATAGAACCTTATTTTATAAGGTCTAAGAGGTAAAGGTGAAGTTTATTTCAGGTAAATCAGATTAACTGTGACTGGCAGCAGGACTGAACTGAGTAAGACCAAAAGTTGGACTTTAATCAAAATTAGCTTCAACAAGGTTCAATGGTGTACTTACTCTGCCATTTTTTCTGTAATATCTTAGATACAAAAACTGGCATTTTAACCAATTTATGGACAATTTTTAAATTCCCTGTATGTTAGATTGGATCTATTATACAAGAACTGAGTTTTAGAGGTGAAAAAAAATGTCTCTGCATTATTTACTCTGTAATCCTGTGACAGCCTCATCTTTTACCCCAGTTCAGGCCTAGATTCTTATTCCTGCAGCCGGTACTGGCAAAGAGTGTGTGTACACTGCTATTTACAGTGACAGGACTAACACCAGGCGCCCACCCTTGTGCTGCAGGCTCTCAGATGGCTCCAAACAAATCTCTAATTGTGCTGTAATCCAGAGAAAGCGACACAAAATCATTGGAAGAAGATTTATTTCTTTATCAAAGCAATCAAAGCAGCATCATGTTTTTAACACAGAGCAGTTTTTAGTTGGTACAGGAACAAGACTTTTTTTATTTCCTCTCCGTTTTTTTCAACCGACTCGACAGTAGAAACCTACAAGAATGTTACGGGAGGAGACGAGTGGTATGGATCACGCTCTCTTCTTGGTTTTGTATTACTTAATGGGGCAGCGAGTTTCAGACTGTATCCACAGACAAAGTACAGACCGGGGATGTCAAAACAACATCACACAGATGACAGTTGAGTAAAAGACATGCTGTTGCTTCTCAAACACGACAACATTGCCTTTGGCCTGGGGTCAAAGAGCAGCCAGAACATAAACTTTCAAAGTAACACATTTGGAAGCAACCTTCAGTTACAAATGATCAAGGTATCCAAGAAAGAAAAGATACTGAAATTACGTAAGCATTTTCTAAACGAATGTCAGAGTCAGTTGTTTTTCATTTACAAATGATTAACAGATGATTACATCAATACTTCAGGCATATGTCGTCTCAGATGGAGTCTGAGAAAGTTCTACTGCACAAATCTTAGCGTTTCATGAATCACCGTAAAAAAACAAAACAAAACTGCAGCAAATTCCTTAAATGGATCAAGTGATGTTTCTAGATACTCATAATTTGCTGCACAAATAAAACTCATAAAACATATTATCACACAAATACACACACACACAACGGCGGACCTCCCTTTGCTCATCTGCAAGACCCTGAGGCTGCATCCCTGAGCGAAAGCAGAAAGGCCACCCAGAGGATGCCGAGGAGCACTCCATATTATCTAAGGATAACATGCTGTCCAAATAACACCAGGATTATATCATTTTTATACAACTCACATTTGCACAGCCCTCACTGCCACGCAGGCCAGTTATCTCCGTCAGTAATCAGGTGAGCGGAGAGGTATGAGTGCACCGAAAGCTTCTGCATGCATAAAATCAGCCAGTCAGACTCAAGCTCCAGGCTTTGGCTAAATCAGGCTCATGTTGTAAAAGTTCATGCAAAACCTAAACCAAACAAAATACAGTGGACAAATAAAAAATTGTTCAAGATGATGATTCAGATGATCACAGGCAGACCTGAAAGATGTAATTTTTTGTCTTTTAGCCAAACTCCTGAAACTAGTTGTGTAGAAATATAAGAGAAATGATGGAAGATATTTGCATCATTCTGGAAAATGTTTGCGAAGATTCACACCAGTCTCAAGTCTGTGCATTAATCCACCGGGAGTCTGTTTTTTAAGGCAGCTTGATGAGAGGTTAGCTTGTCTCAGTAAGAAGTAGGGAGGAAAGTAATCCTGAACAGTCAAATACTACGTACTAGTGAAATACTTAGGGATAGTACGCAGTGCTGGGAAGAGCTGCTGCCTGCTATTCTGTGCCTCTAACTTCAGCACACAGTAACCAATGTGAACGACAGGTATGCAGCCTTCAAATCTCACACCTGCTCATTCAATACATGTCCGGTACGTGTTAATATCTGACTAATTTTTCTATGTACTGTCCTCACGCATTAATCCGTTTTGGTAGTGCACCATCTCATGAGCGGTGATAAAAAACATCAAAATGAATCCCTATATTATACCAACAATACGTAATGAATCATCTTACTGATTATTTTTTAGATAAAGACCAAAATGGATATTTATCTCTAATTGTTTCTCTATGTCTATCCATCCAATTAGGATGTCCATGTTTCCCTTTTATTGTTTCTCCATTTATTTTGAATACTTTTAACATTTTTGTTTACTTTCTAATTCCTTTTTGGATTGTCATGGCATTATTAGGCAACTTTAGAGGTTGTTGTATTATCAAGACTATATGATTTTCAAAAGAAAAATAACTAAGTGGATATAATCATGGGTGAAAGTTTAATAACCATTAGTTTATTTTTTTGTGAATTAATAGTTAAAATAAATGCCAATATTTTCCATACATTTCTTTCAACAAAGAGTTCTCTAGGTGCTGCATCAGCCTGGTTACAGCTAAAAAATAATCACAATCCTGTTAAGTTTCATTGTCATAAAAGCATTGCAGGTTTTTCCATCTACTAAAGGGTGTGAATAAATGGTGACAGGATCAATTGTAAAATAATTCAAAAATACATTGAAAATGCTCAATTTATATTAAAAAAGTCTAAGGATGAAGAATTTTTGCCCAACTTTTTTTTTTATTAATCAAATATTACTCAGTATCTCAAATTATAAAATACAAAAGTATACTTTTGCTGTTATATCTAGATTATATTGGTCTGTTAAAAAAAAAAAAAAAAATTATCTTTTAAAATGCATGGAGTGTGTAAGAAAACAATCAGAGCCAATGGATTTCTTATACAGTATCGACAAGAATTTAGGACTTCTTTAGGAGCTATCCCGGTACAGGAATACTACATTTTCCTAACTTTAGGTTAAAAGTAATCTGACAGTGAATCTGTGGATAGAGGTAAAGATTAGGGTGATGGTAAGAAGACCTTCCAACCTCAAAGACTTGAATTTGATGTTCCGCAATTATAAGAAGGTTTTTATGATTGATAATTGATAAATAATAAATAAGTTAAATGTGAAATATATAAACGACAGTAACAGAATATCTGATTTTAATAAAAACACTTCTGTTACATTTTTTTTCTTGCTCGTCTCATTTTCTATCACATATAAGCTTCATCTATGAATACTTTCGGTTTTAGTTGTACCTCCCTCCTTTTAATGCATTCAAACACTAGGGAACATGATTACCAATAAAAGGCATATGGAACAATGACTTAGACTGATTTAATCTGGCAGTTTTCGCTCTCAATTGTCTGATGATAAGAACCTCTGCAGATCTAAACATGCAGAAAGACAGGGTACTTTCTATAAATCTGCTTTGTCTTCAAGTTTTCCGCACAGACATAAGATTGGTGTCAGTCTTCGTTTCTATTCTTAAGACACCAAAAGTCGCAAGTAGTTTTCACCAGAACATCACTCCACTGGAAACAACCACATAACTGTCCTATAAACAATAATATTGTCACTGTTAAATAGAGCAAACCTCAGGTTCTACAAAAAGAAAATACAACATACATTCAGACATTTTAAGTTCCTTAGAAATGGTTATGCAAATGGTAGAAAAGCTTTGGCATAGTTTGCCTACAAGTTGTGCCTGCACACTTGGAGAGAAGAGCGGAGGGAAGCATGGGGGGGTGGGATGAGGGCTTCACACAGCTCTTCCCTCAGTTTACACGTCGAGTTAGCAGTCCCACATAAAACTGTGGAGAGTTTAATACCTACATCACATGCTATTTACACTGTTCTTTATTCTGTCAGGCCTGGAGTAGGGAAGGGGTAAAGTCTTTGCTACATGTTCCCAGGCGTCTAGACCGGGACTAACGGGACCACCTTGAATTTGCAAGCATCTCTGTGAGAATCACAGACAAATTCATCTAGTCTGTGGAACCAACAGCTACATCTTTAGGCCCCAAGCTAAGCCCTACAGAGGGATGATATTTGTCCTAACTGAGCACTTAACAGGATGATGTCTAGTAAAGCAGCTTTGAAATAGATTCTTAAAGGCTGACAATGCTCTTATCTATCCTTAGAGCTTATTCTGGCCTTTTTCCAGTCAATATAATGATTTTCCATTAATGAAGTTACCTTAATATCTTAAAAAGGCTTTAAATTAATGACTTGTTTCACACTTAGAGAGAGAAAAATCAGACCATTATCTTCAGCTAAAAATGCATCTGGGGATGCAACACGGTTTACAGATACTGATCATTATAGAGAGGCACAATTTTAAACAGGTGTAAGAAGTGTAACTGTAAGTCAAGAAGCTTTTTGCAGGAGGGAGGAGCTCCAGGAGGAAATCAACACAATTTAGGCCGTTTAATACACACTATAAAAAAAAAAAAAAAAAAAAAAAAAAAGGACACCCAGTTTTCGTTTTGGGCTTTTACGTGTATTGGGGATCCATTAGACTGATGTAAAAATAATCGGCACTGGCATTGGCCTTAAAAAACCTGTATCGGTTATATTTAAGCTAAGACATAAAAGGTTTTTTGCAGTGTTGCCATAAAAGAGAGCCTTTTCTTCTAAACTACAAACAGCTTATCAGCACAGAAAACTCTTTCTTTAAGCATGGTGGTGGATGGGTGATGGTTTGGGTTTGTTTTTCAACCACAGCTCTAGGACGAGTCATTGAGTAACCAATAATCATAAATTACAAACCCTCACAAACCTTCTACGTTGTAAGGAAGATCGGATCAGGCATTACAATTTAACCTCTTCAGCAAAACATAACTCATACAGAGCTTCAAAAAATATATTTGATGAATATATGTGAAGCAAATAACATCTAATATATATATTTAATTATAGACAGAACCTAAAAAAAAGGGGGGGGAATATATTTAATTAATTTTATTTAGATTTTTGTGGAACAGGACGTAAAAGAAAACACGCCTATTTCAACCTTATACAAGCAAATAAAAGATGGAAACTTTTAATGGTACATTTAGTCTCATTCTGTTGTAAAACTTCAATGACATTATTGAAAGAAAAATCTGTTAAACCAACATTAAACCTATGTTTAAAAAAGATAGCTGCTTATTATTTTTATCCAGAGCTATTAAGAGCCATTGTGAAGGTCCATAGAACTCAACAGATTGCTGTTTTATAACCAAAACCCTAAAACTTAAAGAGGGTGTTCTTTGTTTCTGGCTGCAACAGATGCCGTGAGTCGGGCGGGAGTAAGGCGAAACACAGACGATAACATAAACTAAGTGGCTTTGTGTGCTAAATCGGTCAATTTTCCCACTCGGATTTGGCACAGAGACTTTGAGAAACACAGGAGGTGCCTCAACCAAACCAGCTACCCACCTTAAACCGTGGACGACTACTGGTGAGTATGCCATCATGCTTTCAGAGCTCTCTGCTTACAATCAACACCTCCCTGTAAGTGGAAACCTTATTTGTCATGCTATAATGTTACATTGCATAGAAAGTTAGAGCTTACTCTATGAGCACAGAGACTCTCTGGGGATCTGCTTCATTCATGCCTTACCGGAAAGATGCTACAGAAACTATAAGAGAAAGAACAAACTGCGGGAGCCATTTTGGGTCATTTCAACCCCCCATTCCATGTGCGTTTCCTCAACCCCTGGCTATAGAGGAAGGAGGTGAGGGGGTATCTATCGGCATGGCACAAAGATGGCAGCCGCCAGAGAGATCCGTCACCGTGCGGGCTAGCAGCTGCCGGGGGATGAACACACGGAGCCACACATGCTTAATTTGGAGGACGTCTCTGGTTCGGGATCTGGATCTGGATCGGGCTCGGGCTCTGGTTCTGGGTCAGGTTCATGGGCGTCATCATCATCGGGGGCCCCAGGTTCTGCCTCTCCGTCCCTGTCTGCATTGGCATCATCGCCCCCGGCCTCAGACTGACCCTCCTCCTGCCGCCTTTTCAACCTTACAAGTAGACAGAAAACACATTTAAAATCATATTATTGCTTCTCCCTCTATTAATCACCCTGTTCCATGTAGGAGTAAAAAAAAATAGAAACTACCATAATGACACTGGAGTGTAATTACAGGACTTGACTGAATTAGACTGTGTAGGGCTCTTCACTGCTGTGCATAATTCTAGATTCATTATAAATATCAGTAGATTGTCATTAATTAGAGCAAAAGGATATAATAAGACACACAGAACGAGAGTTCAGTAAGACTGGGGCTGCAGGACGTGATCAATAATAAATGAGGCAATAATTTAAGCATAGAACCAAGATTCTTCCCTCTACCTTTCAAGGAGGAACACCCTGCAGTAATTTATGGCTCTTTTAGTTGTCATTCATTATGAACTCTGAATATTCTACTGACATGAACAAAAGCTTTGAAGCATATCTTTACATCATGGCATCCCTGGCAAGCAGACAAGTTTGAAAGGGGATCTTAAAAAACAATCTCTCTTAATTTTTCTGGCATGTACAATACCAAACCTTGAAGTATTTGGATGGGGTGAGGTTAATAAATCAGATATGTTATATATGAGATATGATTGTTCCTTATGTTCCTAACAGCACTAACTTTACTCTCAATTTGCAGGTTAACTAGAGGATCCTAGAATTTCTAAAAGAAGAATGGGAGGCAGATCTTTTAGATATCAGGCTCCTCCCCTGTGGAACCAACCAGTTTTATTCTCTGAGGCAGACACCATGTCTAGTTTTGAGGCAAGGCTTAAAAATGTCCTTTTTGATTACATTTATAGTTAGAGTGTCCCAGGTTATACTGAGCCATCTTTATAGTTATGCTGCTATAGGCTTAGACTGCTGGAGGACATAGGTACCACTTTTCATCATTCTGCTTCATTCTAACTATATTCTCCCATTCTGCAGTATTCGTTAGTTCAATTTCTGACGTTTTGCTCTCTCTGCTTTTTCTCATAGTATCTTCATGTGGTCTGTTCCTGTTTGTCTTTGAAATCATCCTTGAGAGAAACATCAGCTGTGCTGCTGCAATCAACACCTTTGTTTATAGATGGTGGAGCTTGGCCTGTATTTGCACCCCTAGAACTATTCTAGTTTTAGGGGTGCAAATATTTTCTCAACACACTGCTCTCTTTAAAAGTGATTCCCCTCCAGATTCTATGGATCTGAATCAGTGCACAGTTGATTGCTTTTACACTTTTGTGCGAAGCTCCCTGCTTCAGGGCTCGTTGGTGTGAGTTCCACATTCAGCCATGAAGCATTGAGGCCTAAGTGCAGGATGAAGGAGGTAGATATTTTATTTAGCTCCTCAAATAAATTTAGGGTAACCATATTTTATTTTTGTAGACCCCGCTATTACTTTGTGTCTTTAAAAAAAGAGATTAAGAAAGTTGAGGCAAATATATAAAACATCTCTGCAGCATAAGAACCTCTAAGGACCAATTGTGGGACTGCTTTGCCTGGACTACATTATGCATACACTGAAGAAAGAAAATCTTGGATCTCCTGCTGATTTACTAAGGATACTAAGAAATACAAAGGATACATTTTAATGAGAAACTAAATCCCAAAGCAACTTTTTCACAGATAAACTGTATAAATTGGGCCTTAAGGATTCTATCTTTTTGTGTTCAAATCTTAAAATTTTTAGTGTAACCTTGTATTATTTGCAGTACTTGACATAAAAACATCTCACTACTGACCTAAATGTTGAAACGTGGTACTGCAATCAATTTTCTTCTATTGGTTAAAACAGTACAGCTAGCACATTGCTAGATTGGAGCAGAGAGTTTAGGTATGATGGTGGGAATTTGGCATTATTTAGCACTTTAAAGGCAATCTTTCACCAGGAAAAACACTGTAGTCTGTCTCCAAGCATGCATACATCTCAGGAAGACATCTACTTTAGAGAAATACTCTGCATAATTTAGATCTCTAGATTTCTATTTTACCAATCAAAGCTTTACACCATTTCATAGAATCTCAGTAGGATTTAAGTGTGAGGCCTTGTTAAACCACTGAATGATCTTTGCATGACTATTGAAGTAATAGGTAATCTATTCTTTGTAAACGCAATGCTGGCAATGCAGCACCAAAATATATTTCTACCTCCCTATAGGTAAGTTCAGGCTTGGAGACCAGAACCAGGGTGTCTAAGGCTAAGTCCACTTGGAGGCTAAGACAGTGTCCACACTGTAAGGTGTGAGTGCAAAGAAGAAAGCAAACACTGCCAGAAGAGCAGTAGCAGGCATTGTATTATTTGTCAAATGGCAGTTAGGGGTTGCAGGAAAGTTGCCAGAGAAGCAATCTGAGACCTGGTTTGGTATAATTTGAATGAGAGACCTTATATTGGATACACCAAAACCTGGCTCCATGCAGACAGGGCCCTGATGCTCAACCAATGTCATCTTATCACCAAGCTTGTTGCTGAGGTTTTGGAGCCTATTCAGCCTGAGGCGTATGGGGAGTGTTGGCCTAGTGGTTAGAGCAGTGCGCTCTGAGAAGGTTGCAAGTAGCTCAATCCCCACAGCCTGCACTCTGGGTTCATGGGCAAGACGCTTAACTCCAATCGGCTCAACACAATGACAACCCACTCCTCCCCAAGGATATGGGTAAAATGCAGAGAGTGAATCTCCCCATTGTGGGTCAATAAAGGGATATACATTTACATATCTACTCCCTATGGACCTTCATCTTTGGTAATGTTAGTGTAAAGGTGAACAGGTCAAATAACGGGAAGATCAGGGGTTTCTGTTGTCGACTGTCTAACTGATTGTAATATAAGCAAACACCTAAAACAGGAGCAGAATTAAATTTTAATGCCAAAAAGGAATTTAATAAGGTGATAAAGTGCCACATAGAAGTAAACATATACTTGATATAAATAAATGTGGGATTATATAACTTGAAATAAATATATACAAGTAGTATTGGAATATTTTAAGAACAGAGATGAATAGTGCAACTTTTGTAGAGAACAATCACCATGGCAAATATTAAAACCATACAATGGTATGAAATCTGTAGAAGGAATATGTCAGCCTGTATTGTTTGTGATCAAACACTTCTGTCAATGATGAAATATAAATCAACTTACATGGAATTAATTATGACAGTCTTTGTACATATTCTGCTATCTTGCATCAAAAGCAAAATAACAAACTTTTAATGCCTTTGTGGGCAAATTTTAAAAATCAGCAGGGGATCAAATCTTATTTAAAATAAATTATGGTGCTGCAGTGGTAACAGCAATTTATAAAGGAGATTAATTAAAACGTATACAGGGTGTAGTACTGAAAAATAACATCACTGCTGCAAATTCATTAACTGTTTACCTGCATCTTGGGTGGAGCAAAAAACAGCTCTTGAATAAAAGCAGAGAAATATGCACTTGTAGCTCTTGTCATAGACAGACCTCTGCTTTTTTACTTCCACATACCTTTCACGGTTGAAGATCATGAACTCTTGCTGCACCACTTCAAGGCACTCCTGTAGGTAATCGTTCTCCTGCAGACAGTCATACAAAAGAGATGCTGTCTTCAGAATCATCATTCAACAATGACCTTTCCACCGTTGCAAACAGGCAGACCTGAATCAGGCGACTCCCTGATATATGACGTGGAATTTTGTCTTTTTCAGCCTTAGAGGTTCCTTTTAACCTGACTCATGAATTGTTTGCAATCCCTCCTCAAATTGGATGTTTGGCTTGAGACAAAAATAGAAGCTCATATTTCCAAAAGCACCCGGGGCCATGACAACGGCACGGAAAGGCTTCATAATTTAATAATCTAAGTAATAATGCAGCATGAGCACATGCAGGCAATCTCACACACACAACAACTCCCATAAGGCTGCTGTTGTTTGAGGCACACAGTGTTGTACATGCTTATCAGCCTTGATAACAAGTGACAAAAACCCTACGCACACACTGATGAATATAACGCTGTCATGAGCACTGTTTGATGAAAACCCAGGCAATATCCCTAATTTTCATTTAGAAAAACAACAACAACAAACATCTCAGTACTTTTTTATCCTGGTCCTATGATGAACACTGCAGAGGCAATTAATCCGGGGATCATCTTAAAATTATCGCACTGGTGCGTCAGGTGGAGATTTGTCACTGTTATTCATCGAGAACTTAATATTCTACTGTAATCCATTTAATTAGAATCTTACAGCAATAATCTTATAATGATCGCTAAATGTTTGAGGACTAAATGCCATCAGTGCAGACTATTCCCGTTGTTGCATTAAATGCTGAACGTTTTCAATTAACAGATTAATCTTTGTGGAAAATGGGCAACGGTAGATTCGGATTTAAACAGCTCTGGCTGACAGCTAATGGAAGGAATGGAAATGAAAATGAGAAAACCCCACATAAAAGAGAATGTCTGTAAATGCCACATTAGAGATCATAATATGCAGGAAAAAAATGAAGAAAGAAAAGAAAGACAAAAATGATCATCTCAACAATCTACCTTATTTGTTCTGGTTTATGATTATAAAGCCATAACTTTTTTATTGATAAAAAAGAAAGAAAAATTCAATATATGTTTTTTTTTTTAATCTTTTCTTAAAACTGACAAAATACAATCCAAGTGCGCTGATTCCATATTTTTTGCCAAGGAGTGCAAAAACTTTATAGACATTGTGATGCCAAGAATAAGCAGCTACTTCTTAGTTTTTTTGTCGCCACTGCACATATCTGTCATTTAAAACTGCATTTATAACTGGATGTACTTTTATTTTATTTCCATTGAAAGCCCCCGTGACTCAGTGCCTTTATGCTAAACTGCAATGGTGGAACGTCACAAAGTACATGTACTTACGTACTTTTAAAAATATATTTACTTTACTTGAGTACTTTCTTGGGGAGGTACTTATAATTTTCACTCTACTACATTTTGATGAAGCTGTAAGTTACTTTTTCCTTTTGGCTCAGCTTTACTTTTTAATCCACTGGTGCTGTTTTTCTCAGTTGAAATGCAACATGTAAGATAGCAGCCCTTAGGGCTGAATTCGGACACCAGTGTTTTGGAGATGTGGATGAATATTACACAAAATTTGAGCATCTCATGGCAATTGTCATTTGTAGTTTATAAATGTTATTAAGGCCTTAGTTGTTGCCATGTGGCCATATTGTTCAGTAGAATCAGTTGTATGATGAAAGCTGTAGTTTCTTTGTGGTAATCGATTCAACCTTAAAACTCTATTCCATACTGAAAGTTTGAGAACAATCAAGACACACATTTTCGGTTTGTTTCTATATAAAGAATAAGCATTTCTATGTTGAAGTTCTTTACAGGTGGTGTAGAATCTGTAGCAGGTGGTTCTACGCATCAATACTTCTGGCGGTTTGTGAAAGTTACAAGGTAATTTAAATTAAGTCTGAAAATTATACACGATTGTACTGATGTTACAAAATGATCTTGGTATTTTTGAATACTTAAGTATTCAAAAATACTTATATATTTCAAAAAGTGAGTACTTTGATGCTGTAATTTGAGTAGCTTTTTCACTGAGTAACTTTTATGTGGAGTTAAGATTTGACTAATCATCAATACTTTTACTCAAGTACTACTGTTAACTACTTCGTCCACTACTGCTTAACTGTCTCTTGCCTGGATAAAGCCACTGACAGAGCAACTGCTGCATTGCCTTTGTTCTCTCTTTGTTTCTATACACAGCGACTGTGACTCTGGGCGTTCATGTTCAGCTGTGTCTTTTTCTTTGCCAGAGTCACAGATTAAGCTATTGTCGCCTGTTTTGCTTATTTGTTCACCCTTTGTTTTACTTTCAGTTGAACTCTATCTTGACTAAGGGACTCTGTGTTCAACTGTGTCTCTTTATGGATGAAGTCATTGAGGATCCAATGAATTTTAGGTTGTTTTCTCTCCTAACAATCTGAACCTGGATCTGGATGAAGAACTTCTGCAAAATCTGTGATTTGACGTAAACAACTAATTTTTTGTAGTGTGATTATGATTAACAGAATTTAAATTCATTTCATAATAATTTATTTAGATATAAAATTTTACCGGAAAACAACAGATGGTTTTAATGATGGTTTTTGATGGTTTTCCAATTATTTCTTTTTTGTTGTAGGTTTTATTTTGATACAAATTGGTGGTACAGAGCTAAATTGGATTTATGCAGAATGATTTAGTGTACTTAAACTAAAGTATGTCTTCATGCTCTCCACTGTAGCACAATTTCAGTTTTTTTAGTTGTAGAAAAGGGAATAAGAGGAATTCATAACAGCTGGGGGAAACAAAAAGCTTTGGGCTCCCTGCCCATCTAAAAATAAGCATCTTTGACAGGCGCTGCCTTATAGGAGACCTGAGCTGAATTATTATCTCAGACCAGCACAGGCTCTTGAAGTATGCAATTTATTAGACCACGATTCCTATAGTATTAATAATCTGTTAGTTAAAGGTGTCATTATCTTTGCTGTACCTACATATTGGAAATAACAGAAATAAAATCAAAACAAAGATACATTTCATACAAAACGATATTTTTTATTTTATTTTACAATAAATAGTCTCTTTATATAAAAGGACAGCATGAAGTAAACTAGGTAAGATTTGTTATGCAATGGAAGGGAATGAATGCCGTATAACAGATGCAGTAACATCTTGAATCCTGTGTTCATCCTCACAGCTCCCAAATCCTCCTACGTAACAGAACATGTTGCCATTATTACCGAAGTAAAAATCACTGCAGAGTATCATCTCAAACATCTACTCATGAAGGATTTGACAGATCAATCAGAAAGTGTCATAATCCTGTTATGGACTAATTTTCTTTTCTTTTTTTTTCCAACAGTTGCTGTCATTATATTTTTATTATTTTTCTTTTTTTCTTTTCACAGAATGTAGAATGTCATGGCTCGGTGGTTTTGTGTTTAACTGTATGTATTTCATGAGGCTGTTGCTCTGATTTACCTTGAATACTTTCTTGTAACGAGGGACAGTATTTACAGCAGCTAAATTACAAAAGAAGTGAACAAATATTATCTAATCTAATGCACAGAATTTGGGCAAAACTGGTTGTAGATATGAGCTGCATCTTATTATCTTTTAAAGTGGCTTGAAATGACAGCTGCCATGTATTGGCAGAATATGGAGGAAAATATTTGCAGCTGAGATGAGCAGTTGTTGCACACACAAAGACCTGTATCCTGTTTAGGATTGTTTTGAAACTGAGCATGATTACTAAAACAGAAAACGTCAATAAATCCAAACTAAGCAATTTCTGTCTTTTTGTTTTATTCATCTTTATGTCAATTTTTTTGGAAGAACAAGTGAGGTTGTAGTATGCAGGTCTGAGTTACTCACAGACTGTGAATCCTTGCTGTTGTCTCGAGAGCGGTTCTTAGCCAGCCTTTTTTTCTTCTTGTGGAGGGGACGTGACTCCAGAATCATCTCCTCCAGCTCAAAGGTGGGGTCGCAGTGGAGCCGACCTTTCTGTGGAAGTGAGATGCACACCGCATAATGACAAAGACATATGCACTTTGAAACCAAGAGGTACAACAGACGCGGTACCCCACAGACAGCAAAACACAGGAATTTATAACAAGTGCATGTGTACACTCACTGTATAGCAGGATGCCATAAAAGAGCTGCATGCAGTTCCCTCTGCATTATTAAGTCCTTACACATGCTCATTACAGCCAGCATACATAAAAGAGCACTTGGGAGTACTGTTAAATATTCAATGTAAGAAATATTGCATCTCTTAACACTAACATTAGGAACGAATCCAGGTTCCATCTTCTTCTCATATACGGCATCCCAGTTGACGGAGGCGAGGTATGGAGACGCCTGCATATCAGACAGACTGGAAAACCGATGCTCCGGGTTGACTGTCAGCAGCTGCAAGGAACGGAGACACACAGTCACACACACACACAATCACTATCACCTTGCCAGTTCAAATATCACCTTCACAACTTCACTCCCAACTCACAGCCAGCCACTTCTCTCCGGGAGGTGAAATAAATTGCAGGTATAAAATAAAACTCTCTGTGACTTCACTTTCTTCCTTTTTGTGAAGGAGAGAGAAAAAAGGCACATAGCTGTGTATGTGCTTGAGCTCCAGCAGTGGATAAAAAAAGAAATAATTGAATTGTAATTCTTGACAACTTTTGCATTTATGACTAAGAACATGAATAGCCTAAAGGGATGCGGAACAAACATGGATTTTTATTAGCAAAAATAAAGTATTCCTTTATTAAATACATAACCTGAAAACGTTTCTTAACATAATTTTAAAAATGAAAAAGTTTTCATATCTTAAAATTAGTAGGGGAGCTAATGGGAGATGCCATGTTGTGAAAGAGGACATACTTGTCAGCTTTATGCATTTTTACCTGTAGCTGCAAATATTTCTATTTTATTTAAACCAATACTTGTGTAAAATGTGTTAGACTTAGACAAACTTTATTGCTATTTTGTATACAATCATACATTATAATGTAAATGAAAAAACAAAACTTATCCTTCTAAATTTTTCCAAAAAATTCTGCAGCACATACTTACAGTATAATCCTCTAGACTGATATCAGAGTAATCAGTATCAGCCTAAAAACATCCTGTAACAGTTTATCTCTACCTCATAGTCAAGACAGTGTTTACAGGCTGGTAAAATGTTGCTTCTTCTTCAGAAGGCTTCTGACCCATGTTGCTGCAGGACTTGTTTCTCTTTGGATAATTAAACTCTTACCAGCTCCAGTAAGCCTCTAAGCATCTATTGATATTTTTTCTGGGGCTCGAACACAAATTTTCAATCAAAATCGGTTTATCTCTGAGAAACAGAAATCACTTTCTTCCTCAACTTTCTTCACTTTCTTCTCACTGTGTTTATGCTTTCATATACATGTTTGAACAGATAACAGAGAGATCACTGGGCATCAGGACATCTTCCTGATGTCTTAAAATGTTTTATAACATACTGTTAGATAAAGAGGCAAATAGTTTCCCCGAACACACACACACACACCCATATTTAATATATATATATATATATATATATATATATATATATATATATATATATATATATATATATATATATATATATATATATATATATATATATATATATATATACGGTATATATATATATATACGGTATATATATATATATACCGTATATATATATATATATATATGCAAGTTTTTCAAATTGAATACTGTAAGCCTCCTTAAGAGGTCTGCTCAGTCCTCCTTTCTCATGGACCGTTTTACTGTTGACTCTCCTTTCCAGTTTCTTGTGTGGATTAAGGCTGATATTTGAATTAATTACTTACCTTCCTTCTCTCCATGGTAAATTTTCTGCTTTACTTATTGCTGTTTCACCTGAACTCTAACAGAGATCTGTTCTATAAAATAGCTTGTTTGCTCTTCTGTTGGTCACAGTACATACTGTACTGAACATCTACTTTCCTTTAAGGTTTTCTTCAATAAAATGCAGGAAATTATACAGATATCTGGTTGTGTTGATTTAAGGCGCTAGCCTGATCAAAAAAATAAGTAATTCATAAATTTCAAAGTAATTGAGGAATGCAACTGGAGCAGGGAAGTGGAATCTTATTTCCAGCTCAAACATTTGATGTTTACAAAAGTGGGAAGGAGACAAAAACTGAGCCACTAATTACCTCTAAAACAAAATGATTGTAGATGTTTCAAGTAAAAGAGAGATACCTAGCTTCAGAGAGCCTTAAAGTTTTTGCATACACTTTGTATTTTAATGGCATGTAATTTATTTCATCTTCTACTTGCAGCTAAATGCCGTCAGAGATAATGGGAATGGCTTTGGCTGTCATGTTAACTCTCTTCCTGTGCTTTATTTTGTTTCTTTGGTTGCAGGATGATTCACTTTTTCTCCTGCAGGGCCAGTTAGGTCTATCTGGGTGGAATCCAGACACGGTAATCGATCAGCAGCAGAGCGGAAGAGACCATCTTTCTGTCCAGAGCACTCTGTCATAGAGACAGAGTGCACATGGATGCAATGAAGCACTCACACTATAAAACGTTTCATGAAAAAAGCCATGGATAATTTATTTCCATGTATTTACTGGAAGACTTTTATCATGAGAACAAAAAAATGAAATAAAAAGACCAATTTTTTTCTTTCTGACTCAGAGGATCAGTTATAATGAAATTGTATATTATTAGTTGGATTAAGTTGGATTGTCTTGAGTGATTATTTTTGACATGCTGATATACATGCAAAAGAGAAAAGGGGGTGACGTTTCTGTCATGCATGTTTTGTGTGCTTCCCATCTGTCGCTATTTTCCTTCAATGCTCCGAGGGTCTTGACTCATCCTGCCTCCCTCCAGCGAAATTCCCCTCAGAAAAAGCATCCTATCTTCTCTCTTAGCACACTTTTTATCTCAGCACATGAGCTCCTATCACCTCTATATCTGTGCCCCTTTTAAGCTATAATCGTCCTTCGGAGGAAGCCTCACTAACTTCGGATGCGATGAAAATGGAATTAGCATTCTAAATACTTTAATTGATTCCCTCATTAATAAGAAGTGCAATTAGTTAGAGCAAAAATCCATCAGTCATTAAATTTTGGAGTTACTATGCAAACACCCAGTCCCCTTGAGGCTGGAAAGTTGTTTCCCAGAGTCGGGTTTCTTCAACATCATCAATGCAAAGAACGCTCAACGCCACAACAGCTAATCCAACAATCCAAGGTTAATTACTGACATACTGATTACTGATAATATGCCTCCCTGCAGGAGGTGTTTGCTATTTTTTTCTGTGAAGACAAAAGGTCAGCACTGACTAAAAATAAGATGATGAAATCCTTACTGACACTTCAGTGTATCTGTGAACTCTGCTAAGCTTAGTGTGCGGAAACGAATTTCCAAACCTAATTATATATAAACATTATTCAAGAGTTTATCTTTTTAAAATGAAACATTAATTTGTTTTGTTTTCAACAAATGAGCCTACTAACAACATTTAAAAAAGGAGAAAACTGTAGGAATTTACTGCAAATCTTACAACCTCTGAAATTACAGCATTGTAAAAACTAAAGCCTCAAATACTCTAAGTGTACCGCTGAGTCATGTTCTACTAACTGACATATGGTCACCTTTCTATGACACCCTAATTTGGCAAATGCTTCTTTCCTGGGGGCCGGTATTTACTCAACAGCTTGAGCTCCTTAATCAAATCCTTTCTACTAAAAAAAATAAATAGATGGATTAAATTTATTTGTTTATTTCCAAGACGGAGAGCCCATGCAGTGTTTGTTGGGGAGCTTTACAGGTACTCATAAAATAAGTACTGCAATTCATGTTTTTTTTTAAAAAACATTTATTTAAGAAAAGATTTGCACAATTTTGTCAAACTTTAAATCAACCATTGCTCAGGTGTAAACTGCTTGAGATTAAGTTGCAAGCTTAAAGGGGAACGCCATTTTTTTTTTACATTGAACTTTGATTTTACGTTATTACATCATGTTCTACTCACCCATATTAGTTTTGTGTCAGTAGGAGCTGTTCTGAAGATACACTATATTGCCAAAAGTATTTGCTCACCCATCCAAATTATTGGAATCAGGTGTTCCAATCACTTCCATGGCCACAGGTGTATAAATTCAAGCACCTAGGCATGCAGACTGTTTTTACAAACATTTGTGAAAGAATGGGTCGCTCTCAGGAGCTCAGTGAATTCCAGCTTGGAACTGTGATAGGATGCCACCTGTGCAACAAATCCAGTCGTGAAATTTCCTCGCTCCTAAATATTCCACAGTCAACTGTCAGCTGTATTATAAGAAAATGGAAGTGTTTGGGAACGACAGCAACTCAGCCACGAAGTGGTAGGCCACGTAAACTGACGGAGCGGGGTCAGCGGATGCTGACGCGCATAGTGCGAAGAGGTCGCCAACTTTCTGCAGAGTCAATCACTACAGACCTCCAAACTTCATGTGGCCTTCAGATTAGCTATAGAACAGTGCGCAGAGAGCTTCATGGAATGGGTTTCCATGGTCGAGCAGCTGCATCCAAGCCATACATCACCAAGTGCAATGCAAAGCGTCGGATGCGGTGGTGTAAAGCACGCCGCCACTGGACTCTAGAGCAGTGGAGACGCGTTCTCTGGAGTGACGAATCGCGCTTCTCCATCTGGCAATCTGATGGACGGGTCTGGGTTTGGCGGTTGCCAGGAGAACGGTACTTGTCTGACTGCATTGTGCCAAGTGTAAAGTTTGGTGGAGGGGGGATTATGGTGTGAGGTTGTTTTTCAGGAGCTGGGCTTGGCCCCTTAGTTCCAGTGAAAGGAACTCTGAATGCTTCAGCATACCAAGACATTTTGGACAATTCCATGCTCCCAACTTTGTGGGAACAGTTTGGAGCTGGCCCCTTCCTCTTCCAACATGACTGTGCACCAGTGCACAAAGCAAGGTCCATAAAGACATGGATGACAGAGTCTGGTGTGGATGAACTTGACTGGCCTGCACAGAGTCCTGACCTCAACCCGATAGAACACCTTTGGGATGAATTAGAGCGGAGACTGAGAGCCAGGCCTTCTCGTCCAACATCAGTGTGCGACCTCACAAATGCGCTTCTGGAAGAATGGTCAAAAATTCCCATAAACACACTCCTAAACCTTGTGGACAGCCTTCCCAGAAGAGTTGAAGCTGTTCTAGCTGCAAAGGGTGGACCGACGTCATATTGAACCCTATGGATTAGGAACGGGATGTCACTTAAGCTCATATGTGAGTCAAGGCAGGTGAGCAAATACTTTTGGCAATATAGTGTATTCGGTTTTGTTATATCCAGATAACGTCTTCCTATGGGCAACGAGTTGAAGGCACAAACTAAACTTTTAATAATTTAACATTTATGGTAAGCCAGCATTCATAACATGTAGGCAAATCACTGTCCCCCAGACATTCGCAGTTATATTTTTTATATTTATATCTTTGAAAAACAAAGTGGAGTGTGTATGACGTCATCACTGGAGTTGTGACAGGCAGCCCGGGCCACAGGTGGCTACGGTCTACTCCTTCTATTCATTCGGCTAGCTAATCTGAATCGTTCAATTCCATTTCGAGAGCGAGATCATCTGTGGTAGTAGCACTAGACATCTTCCAGGCATGTGAGTAAAACTAGTAGCCGTTCAGCGGACAGGATGAATGAATGGTAGCCGGCGCGTGCGGATGACCTCATACACACTCCGCTTTGTTTTTAAAAGATATAAATATAAAAAACATAACTGCAGATGTCTGGGGGACAGTGATTCGCCTACATATTATGAATGCTGGCGTATCATAAAGAATACATTATGAACAGTTTAGTTTGTGCCTTCAAGTCGTTGCCGAAAGGAAGATGTTACTTGGATATAACTTAACCAAATATTTTCAGAACAGCTCCAAATACACAAAACTAATATGATTGAGTAGAACATGATGTAATAACGTAAAATCAAGGGGCCAATGTAAAAAAAAAACGGTGTTCCGCTTTAACTGTTTAAGGCCCTCCATGAAAGCTACATCTCTCTCGGCTAGTGTTTTTCGTTCTTAAATGAGGGAGGATATAGCCACGAATTCAAGATACTCTACTTGAATCTTACATGATATCTAAACTGAGAATCAAAGCCTTAAATTTACGTATGCCGAGTAATCTTGGCTTAATAACTCTGTTGGCAAAGCCTTCTAAAGATCTGTCATATTAATCTGGTGGAGGTTACGGAGCATGCAGTTAAATGGGGTTTCAGTGCAAAGACAAAGATCATACATGATATTCTGGCTTCAGCAATCTGATTTGGATCAAACTGTCCCAAATAAGACAAGACATAAAAATGTAAATATAACCATGTTTTCTAAAGTAGCCAGCATGCTTACCTATTTATCTAAGAGTGGAGGGGTAAAAGCAACATGTGAGGTTTTATCAAGAGATAAGATGGAGGGACGGACAGTCTAGCTCACCTTCCTTAAAAGGGCCACCAGATCTTTAGGCCAGGCAGGGCTGTACTGGACGCTCACTGTACTGAAGAGCTGGATAAGAGACTCCACAGAATTACTAGCGTGGATGTCGTAGGGCCTCTGGGATTACCAGAAAGGAAAAAACAAGAAAAACATTGAAGACCAACCTTGAAAGTTAAATATGTTCATTTCTATCAGCTTAAAACACAAATGAAAGGACGGTGGGTTTAGCCTTACCCATCCACGCAGCACTTCAAAGGCTGTTACCCCCAAAGACCACCAGTCGACTTCAAAAGCATAGCCTGTACCTCCACTTATAAACGACTGGAAGATCTCTGGAGCTGAAAGCAGTGCAGAAACATTGTAACCGGAGCTGCAAAAGATCCTTGTTACACGTACAACAACAAAAAAAAAAGTTCTTTCTGAAACATTCCTCTCAGAAAGACACAAAAGAGTTTAACACCTTAAATCTACAGTCAGATCTAAAGGTTTCAAATTTGTTTCAGTTTTCAACAGTTTTAGATCTTCTTTTAATCATTTTTGTTAAACACAGAACAATTTTAACTTTTGCTATATCAACTCCAGGACCATATCCTGATGATGGCTTCTTGTCCAATTAGAGCTTCTGTTTGAAAACTGACATGTTCTAAGCAGTCATAATATCTGAGTGGTTTCCTGATAAACTGTAAGAATCTTCAATATTTTTATGTTTGTGACTCCTTGTTATCACATTTGTTTATGGTCCATGATGCTGGGGAATGCCATCTGTTGCTGGGCAGATTTGGGGGGAGCCCCTTACCTTAAATGAGAATCTACCCTAAAAATGAAATCACTTCCCTGCCATAGAATCATACAGCAGATTATTCAGTGGAAACAGCTTTGCAGCCAGCACCTAACATTGATGTTTTTGTCTAACAGAAGGGACACCTTTGCTGCCATAGTGTGGTAACCAAGCTCTGAGGTGGCGGCATCTGGAAATTGTTGATTATTAAGAAACATTTTAGTTCTAATATTCTTAGCACCTGATGGATAATCTGATAAGGTCTAGTTACTTTGAGCTTATTCAGTGCACAGGCCATCTGAACACCGGCTGTTGTGACTGCTTTGGCTTTCCTGATAAAAGTCAATCAACTGAATATGATTACTTAACTGTAAGAGCAAAAGCTATTAAAACAAATTTGTGGGAAGAGGCTTTGTAGCATTTGATGCAGGTCCAGCAGATTCTGCAACAGTTTCTTCCCCACTGCCATCAGATTGCTGAACTGTTAAAAAAAAAACTCTAAATCATGTAACAGACTCTGCATCACACTATAACACGAAACCATGTATATTTAAAGCTCAGAATTTCCATATCAATGTGTTTTTTGCACCATTTTTTTCTCTCCATAACTGTTTACATTTGATCACTACTGTACTTTATGGAATGGAAATGTTCTGATAGCTGTACAAAATGAAATTTCGTTTTGTATATACTTTGTGTATACACAAGGACAATAAAAGTTGTCTGAGTCTAGGTCTAAGCAGATCAATGTTACCCATGTAGGGCTTGGTTCCAGCCAATGCTGTGGCTCTCTCTCCATCCTTTATTATGGTCGCTATGTTGAAGTCTGTTAGATGAGCATGACCTGGGAAAACAGAAACAAAGACAACAACCCTTAAATGTTTCCTTTGCTGAGAGGAAAGTGGAGTTAAAAATATCAAGTTAATTTTTTTTCCATCAATATTTAAAAACGTTACTTACTCATCAGTACATCAGTACACTAAACACACAATGTTATTTTAGCAAAAAATAAAGTCTTATTTCTATAGAAAAGGGACCGTTATAGATCTGGAATATAAATAGGGTTTTACAAAAGAAATCAAAAAGGACACGTAAAAAATACTATTTAATAAAAAGTACTACTATACTATATATATATATATATATATATATATATATATATATATATATATATATATATATATATATATATATATATATATATATATATATATATATATACACACACATATCTAAAAGTTGACAGGTTACAAGCTTTGAACATCCCTCTCCTAAAGCAGGTAGGATGTTTTGATTGGGTTCTAAAACCAATGCAAAAATTGATTTAAAGTGAATGTAATTTATCTGTGATTTGTGAAATGTGAACATGTGTGTGAAAAGGTGTACTACTACTGCACAAAAAATGCCCATACTGGGACAAATAAAAGCTACTGAACTGAACTGAACTGTAAAATCCCTTGTCTAATAAATTGTACACTTTTGATCTGTGGATTATCACCAAGTTTCAAACGAAAATTTCTATAAACTCAGAATTATTTTTCACATAAGCTGATCTTTAGGACGGTGTTACACAAATTTTACAACTGCGCTTGAATACACCTTGAAGTAGAAGCAGTCGCTGGTACCACTCTATTTTTTTATTACCTTGTTCATCTAAGAGGATATTGTCCGGCTTCACGTCCCTGAAAAATTAAACAAAACAAAAAAAGACGTCATTTAATCACCTGAACATCTTAAAAAAAGCCCAAATCATTTTATTGACATATTAAGTGTCTTATAGACTGATGTTCTGCCTTTAAACTACGGCCATAAAGCCTTCTTTATTGTGGCGTTTCATGGTCTTTACATTAAATAAAAGTGTTCAGTCTGCTCCTCTGTTAATAAATTCTGAAACACTGCTTCAAGATGTTATCACATGTGGGAAAGCCTGGGATTCGATATATACAGTATGTGTAGATGTGAAAGTCTGTAGGAGGTGTTTTGGAGGCTGATGCTATGTGTGAATTACGTGTTGGTGCAATATTACTTCAGTAAGACCAAAGAAGGATGAGATGCTTTCCTTTCAAAGGCTGCCTGAGGGGCTTTAGACAAAACAATAGTCAAACCTCTGGAGACTGTCTGCAAGCTTTTTTCCCCAAACAGGCTTATTACACTGGGTTTGAACACATCCACTGACCTGACCCTGACCAGCCGCTTCACAGCATATGCACTGTGTTTAATTACACTGCAGCACAGAACACACGCAACTCACAGAGAGCATCTGTATGCATGGAAACACCTGTAAGCTATGTTGATGGGAGCACCCAGGAGAGAGGAGGAGGAGGTGGGGGAGACTAACCAAACATAAGGATCCTTTTATAAGTAATTGTAGGATTTCTATTTGAAAAGTGAAATAGAACAGTTATTATAATTAATTATGATGATAATGGCTTAGCGTCATTTCAGTTTTGTAGAAATTTTGAATAAATCATAAAACAAATAAAAAGGTATCTTTAATACAGAAACTGCCTACTAAAAGCCATCCATCCGTGTGTCCGTTTTTTCCTGCATCAATGCAACAATACTGTGCAGCATCTAGATGTTGCTGCTGTTGTTCTGCTGAGTTGTAAATAGCGCTCCAGGGATTCTCTACAATATTTGGCTGTAGGAAGTGTAGTGGGAAAAATCCATCTCCTATAAATTCCCTTCATAATATTTTATTTACTTTCTAAAAGTATTCACTCAGGCCTCAAATCTGCAAGGCTACACAGCCTTAGGGTGAGAGGAATTGTTTACTTTTTCATTAGGGATTCTTTAAAACAGAAAATAATAATTCCCCATAACAGGCCAGACTTTTTCCCAAGGTTAATTCAACACTTCACTCTTTTCCTTAACTTTAACTTGTTTGGATTAACTGTGAGTAGAGACCTTCACAGCTTTTCTGCAGGCTTTAGGTTAGTGAGAGAAACCTTGTCTACTTTAGGTCAGAACATGGCAGAACATCGAACTGTGTGTTACGATTGTCTTGTTCTCATCTTTGCAAAGATAAAATGCCGACTGAATTAATTACCATCGGACTACTTTGTTAACTTTATTGCATAGTTGAATACTTTTTTTTTTTTCTTTTACAACAGTAAGTATTAGAACCAGTTGTAGACATGTGCCAAATCTCACTAGAAAATGAAATCAGCATCTCCATAAAGACCAACACCAGAAGGAGGCATGGAGTTCTCTAAAACTCCCTGGCGGATGATCTGTTTATCAACAACTTCAGAAAATCCAGTGGACCATAACCTGCAGATCCTGTGGCTCCCCAATTCATCACTAAGTCTGGAAACTTCACACTACATCTTAAGCAATATTGATTTTTCCAGACTCTGATTACTAAATAAAAAGCAAAATTTACTCCCCGGTGACACGTTCAGCCGTTGCTATCATACATCTCATGTCTATGTTTTTTCCCCCTTTTTTTCATTAGTTTTTCTCCTTCCACTAAATTTTTAATCAAAATTCTGGGTAGCAATGATCTTTAGCAATAAAAGCTGCAATCAACTGGGTTTCATTAGAAGAAAAACATTTTAACCAATCTGACTGTATTGTCTAGAAAAGTGCCTTGAGATGAAATGTTGAAATTGGTAGTATTTAAATAAAATCAGTTGAATTAATTTGAAACCTCAAATACACCAGGAGTTTGTATAAAGAATGAAGATAATTGTACGCTTTATTTAAATGTATTAAAATGCAATAAGAGGTGTCCCATTATGGAAAAGAAATGCAGGAAAATCTAAATAATTTCAGTTAAAAACAAACTTCAAAGCAGAATTTGAATTACAGACATCTGTGGAATAAGAGGAGAAAACGATACGAGGAAAGACAAAGAGGAACTCTCCTGCTCTTCCTCACTTTCTCTAATACGACTAATTTTACCTCCTTGGGCATGGTGACAGCTGACTGTTGCTAGGAGACGAGAGACCCTTCTTCCTTAAGTTGGTGCAACAAAAAAAATTAAAAATGGTGTGGTGTATCCCACTGTCAGAAACTTTAAATGCTGGAACAAAGCAGGGAACCTGCAGAGGCAACGGATACCCAGCAATGGGATTACAGCTCCTCTCCAGCAGAGAGAAGGTGTTAAAACATCAAAGGGTTGCTCACTTATTTCATTAACACCTACTGAACATGCATCAGAGGCACATTCTCCAACAGGGAAATCAAATAGGAATATAGTGGCTACATGTGTAGGAATTAAGGAGGGATAAATGCGGCTGCAAAGTATAAACAAGTAGAATGTTTCTCACATTTATGTTGAACAAAACTGCTCCTACTGGGTAGAGCCTTGCCTATCAGTAACCCAGACGAACACTGTAGGGGTGGGAGCTGGGAGCTGTAGGGGTGTGTATATTTTTACAGTATATACCTCTGTCTGAGCAGCTAAAAATAGCTGCAGATACACATCGGCAGGGGTGCACTGAATCATGAGTTAAGAGGCGGCAGCTCCTGAACCACAACATCAACTGGAGTCTTATCCAGCTGTTTCAAAGAAGGGGTTTATTTCTAGGATCCAAATCTGAATGTGAAACCTGGGAGGTCTCTTTCCAAAAAATTGGAAGCCATAGGAGCATAATAAGCTTCTCCTTCTATAATGATATATTTTAAGAATCATTGCTATTCTTACTGGGCAGTTTTGCTTTTTTCTTACCATAAAGTGTTGTAAAAAAAATAGCAAAATGCTTGACTGTGTCTAATTTACGTCTTTTCACAGCTAAATGGAGGAATTTAGATAAACAAACGCCCTGACTTTCAAAAAATCGTGTAGAGGCGAGGGAATGTCAGACTAAAGGCTGAAAACAGATTGAATTAAAAAGAGTTCAATGAGTCAATGAATCGGTTGCATAACCAGCGAAGCACACTTCACACGTGAAAAGAGTGTCTGTTTGAAGCTGACGGCCTACAACCCATTAAGAGAGAGATTGGGAGAACTCCCCCTTGAGTCGTGAAGAGGAGGAAACGAGGAGAGATCTCACAGAGCAGCTATTGACTCAGAGCAGGAAAACATATTACAGGGAGACAGATGCAGCTCATTCATGTCAACATTTCATTTTTTCAGTTTTAATTCCTGCTTTAAAATGTTGTAAAAGGTGCATTCACATTTAGCCCTGATATCACATATTGCAAATGTAATGGTCCAATGTCCGATGACCTCATATAATCTTCTAATTTTCCTGTTACTTTAATTTCTTCACCCCCAACTGTGTGTGAGCTTAGCATCATAGTCATTAAAGAGATAAATTAGAGATTACCACTGAAATATGGTATTAGCTGTATGCAGAGTGTAAATGTTGGTCACCTAAAATATCCAACCAAATTTTGCCAATACTTTTTAATTGTGATATTGCAATAAAGGCCTGATCTTTAAAGATTCAAAAATAACAGGCACTAAATTGCATGTAATTTTTTTTTTTCAGTATGAGCAAGAAGTTGGTTTTTCCAGATGATCTACAAAAAATGTTGCACAAATGTTAAGATGCCCAAGCCAGTTTGTAGAATCTTTTGTTGTTGTTTTTTTTATAGTAACTACATTCACGGTCACTTTTTTTCTTTCGGCTTAAAATGCATAAAGATTGTCTGCGGTCCTGCTGCATAAATTTGTGCCCACCTGAATGAAAGTTTTTTTCTTTATTGTTGTTATTCTACTGTTGTTATTTTTGACAGTTCAAATATTTTAACACAAATCTTAACAGAATCTCTCTCATCCTGTGGCATTTCATCAATGCATTCTTTTACAGCAGCAACAACGGCAGCAGAACTTTCTGCTTGTCAGTTCCAGGTGGTAAATGTTTACTTTTATATATCCTACACTCAAAAGTTTTAGTGGTTTGGCGCCTCAACATCCAGAATATAATCTGTATATGAATGAAGACACATAAAAAAGTTTGCAAATACTGTCCGGTGAACTGCAAACACATATCAGTTTGCACCTTCTTTAAAAAATCTGCTCTGCTATTACCAACATGTTTGTACCTGCTTTTTAAAACGTAAACCTTCTGAAGATCAGGCCCAAAGTGAGAGGATGATTGTAAATACATACATAATCTACTGTAAAGATCTTAAATATCTTATCTTTTTTTTATCAACCTTTCTTTAGGAAGGCTGAAGAAAGTCTGAAACCAGCTTAGAAACATTGGGAGATTTTTGCTCAATAGAATAAGAACAGTTGCTGTTATTAACTAAGACTGGCTTCTAAAAACGGTACTAAATCTAAATTTTGAGCAGAAATGCTTTGTCCGACCCCTTGCTGACCAGAGAAGGTGGGTGTGTTATTTACTGAGCTGGAATGCAAGATAGGTCCCTTCTGGAGGGGACAAAGAATGACGGCTCTACTTAGACCTGTCATGGCCACTGAATTCTTGAGGGTTACTCAGACATGCATGAATGGAATGAAATACCACTTTCTGCATTATTCTGCAGAAGGAATAGCAATAATATAGCTAAAAGCTCATAGCCATGGCTTAGAAGTATTCATGTATTAACTCATTTGATTTGTTGTGATTATTCTATTATACAAAGTTTAACCGTCTGAATTTGACCCCTATGTAGAAGCTACTGTATGCTGACTAATGCAATGCAATAACATGTTGGACATGTAACTTCAGGCTTTTCAAACGGAATCGGCACTAAAGTTGGAGAAAAATCAGTTTTTCTCTAG